GCTTTTTATTGAGGGGGGGGAATGGGCCGGGGTATTTTAGAAATTTTTTGCCAAAAAAGTCGTGGCCCTCCCACTTTCCAGATTGGATTAATGCATGACCCTTCATAAATGCCTAAACAAAAAAGGATCTGACCCTCCCCCCACCTCCTCCAAGACAAAAACAACCGGAAGTGAAAATAACTGACCGGAAGTGTTGCTCACATAACCGTGTCTGCGCACAAAGCAGTTAATTGCGTGGCGTTGCACGGTGAAAACTTTGAAAATGGGCAAGGATGTGCGAAGAATAGAAAGAGGGAAATGCACTTGTAGAGAATTCCAGGATTTCATGGGGTCACATGGAGCAACTTGTGGCTATTGTGGCTGTTTGCCGACTCGCCATTCTAAAAAGGATGCCCGCTACTCCTCTGACTCTGTTGATAGCACATCGGGTGCGGGAACAAGTGAAAGTACAAGTCCAGAGAAGTGGAAAGATGAAGATCTGGGGTGGTTCCCGAACCCAAAGGGCGAGTATACTGAGTTCTCAAATAGCATTTTGTGAGAAAGGTGATCTTTATATGGAGTGTAGGAGAATTTCGTGTAAAGAGAGAAGTGGCAAACTATGTAAATTTTGCGAGAAGGATGAGACTACCAGCGCTCCACTCCCAACTCGACGACCATATCCCGACTATGGCAAGCTACCAAACTTCCATTATCTCTCTTGGAGTGCAACTCCCACCGATGGCCGTGAGCCGGATGACCTCCAGCCTCTAGCTCAGATTAAGCGTTGTTTTGAGGAAAGTGAACTAGTCAGTCGGGACAGTGAGGCTATTAGAAGGTTTTCAGATGAATACATTGTCTCCGAAAAGCTTGTAGCAGAGTATGTTGCGCACCTTGCCCAGATAAAAATGCGCAAGGAGAAGAAGAAAGAGGAGACTTAAACTGGAGCGAATGGAACGGCTGAACCGGGAGTACAATGACATTGACTGGGTTGGACTGTACAGCTCCGATAAGCTGTCGTCGTTGAGGGTGGATGAACTATCCTTGTACTTTTATCATCACAAGATCACCTTCAACGGGAAGAAAGCTGAAAAAGTCGCAATGATAAAAGCGCACATTGGTAGCTTGCTGTACAATTTAATGGGGCGTCAACAATCTCGGCAGCCCCCACTCGGAAATGTACAGCAACAAGTGACGTCGTCACTTTCCGAGGTGGAAACTGACTCGCAAAGTGATGTAGTAGATCGAGTTGTCGGTACAAGCCCGAGTAGCTCAAGGAACGAATCGTCACCGGACACTAATTTTAAACCAGAGCCCCGTGCGGAAACATTATCGATGTCAAAATATGGACGAAAGCGGGCACGGGTCGAGAGAGACAATTACGTTAGTTGGGACAAGATAGTTTTTTGACATAATATTTCGACATCTGTTTAAAATGATGTAGATTGATTTAGACTGGTAGCTTTGGTTCAATGAATATATGAAGTTCATATATTTTGAACTGCGGTATTAGATACGTATGATGCATGATCCTCGCAGTAGAGAGCGCTATTTATGCAATAGCGAAAATCAGAGCTGAAAAAAATCAGGCCAGTACGGATCATGCATCATACGTATCTAATACCGCAGTTCAAAATATATGAACTTCACATATTCATTGTAACTGATTTATCATCACCGATTTATTACGAATCAACTTAAAAGCCTGCTCCCAGTTGGCTTGTTAGCTCAATTGGTAGAGCGCTGCACTAGTATCGCAGAGGTAAGTGGTTCGAATCCCGTACAGGCCTGATTTTTTTCATTTCTGACTTTCGCTATAGCATAAATAGCGCTCTCTACTCCGAGGATCGTGCATCATACGTACTGGTAACTTTGCTTGTTTGGTAACAAATAATTAAAAGTCAACTAACCGACATGCAGTAATTTTTTCCTTGCCAAAAAAAAAAAGAAAACTATGACCCTTCCCCGCCGCGTATCAAACAGGTTTGACCATCCCCAATTTGTAAAATATTTACTAATAACCCTCTCCTCCGAAGCCCCGGCCTACCCACTCCCAATAAAAAATGTACCTTCCCTAAACAAGAGATCGAAGAAATATGGCTGAGACTTCCATTGTAATTCAATCACAGACAGCAAAATTAAAATAAAATATTTATCTTAAACTTGCGAGGAAGATTGTTGATATTTCCCTCTATAAACTGTAAATGACAACTAGGAAGAGAATGAAAACTCGCATTTGTTAGGAAAGGATTGCAAAATTCGTTTCGTTTCCCATTTAAAACGGAATAATGAAAGTTCACGATTAAGAAAGTGGCAAAGAGAGAAAAATAAAAATGAAGCCAATACTTGTTCACACCTCTAGTACCTCGAAAATTAGAATTTCGCGAAATCTGTGACCAACAAATTAGTGATGTACATGAAACCCTGGTTTCCGCTAAGTTTAACGCTCGTAACAAAGTGGAAGACGTCAAAGTAAATTCTTTTCACTCCTCCACACACGCATGAGCAATTATTGTTTTATTATAGGATCTTGCTACGTCATACGGCTTCTTAAGTTTGTAATACGCATGTACTTGGCGCGACACGTGTTTTGAATGAGTGTTGCGTTTTAGCGTGGATTGCTTGTTAAATATATTCTCATCCGTTTATTCGAACTGTTCCGTTTCTTTGGTTACAACATTTGGCGACGAGGATGGGATAGATGCCACTTCTTTACTTCTTGGGTTACTCGTACACCGCATAATTCCTTCTAACATTGTTCGCTGTTTCGTGTTTTCACGCTTGTGGTTGTCACCGTCATGGCCTCGCCGCTATTGGGTGCCATTGGAGAATTTGAACCTTCGATCGAGACATTTACAGTTTATTCGGAAAGACTGGATCAGTTCTTTGTTGCAAATAATATTGGAAGTTATCCATCGAGTGTATCGGAAGCAGTTATCGCTGCAGCAAAAAAGAAACATAGGCATGCTACGCATGCAGGAGTTAGTTTTTTGGGGTACGTAGGTTGAAATGGGACACTATATAACTGATGCTAATTGTTGGCAAAAATAAACTGCATTGGCACAACGCTTCCTGCAGTCCCCTCCACAACCCTAATTTGAACTTGTCACGCAACGCTCTCTCTCTCCAACATTAAACAACGACCTGCTCGTAGGTTAAAATTGTGCTTATTGCCGTTCCTTCGTGAGAGACAAAGTCCTCGTTATTATTCTGACCATTAAGGGCTAGAATCAGAAATTCTGTTTGGTTTTTCCTTTGCAAGAAAATGCACAATAGCGTGCGAGTGTCAGTCAGATTTGAAGTACTGGCCGCGCATCAACGATGAGCTTGTTACATTTTATACTCATCTTTCGAGTGAACCTAAATATATTTATTTAAAGTACAAACCTAATACCGTGAATCACTACTATTGTTAACGTACTGATGAAAACAACAACCCTTAGAAAGTTTTACTTAAAAGTAAAAGTTTTG